TCTACCACCTCACTGAAAGTCATGAGGCGGGAGTATGTAGCACGATCTCGGATGTCTAAGAGTAAGGCATCCCAGAAGTGCTCAGTCATGCGGTCCTCATCGATTGCATACTCCGGTAAGAACCTAGCCAAGGTTCTAAACTCTTGCTCCAACTGCTTAACGGTGCCACCTTCCTTTTGCTTGAGGTTGGTATACTCCCTCCTTTTTACATTAACCTCAAAATCGGAGTAGTATTGGGCATAAAACTCCCGCTCAAAATTTTCCCATGAGATATTCCCACGGTACTTCCCTTCTACACCTTCCCACCATGTAGAAGCCATCCCCTCAAGCAACCGTGAAGCAACGGTTAGCTTCACGTCCGGAGTAATTTGCATGTCTCTTGATGCATCCTTCACCTTCTTGATCCAATCGGCGGCAACGGTAATGTCACCGGTGCCATCGAAGGACCTACACCCCAAGGCCCTAGCCTCCTTGAGGTACTTGGAGATTCTCACTATGAAACCTCCCTCGAGCCCACCTTGTGGAGCCCCGGGTGTGGCCCTTGGAGCTCCCCGGCTTCCTTGAGCCGACACACCTGGAGAACCACGCCTTGCTTGGCGCCTAAGGTCTCTCCTCAGCTTCTCCTTTTGATACCACTCAAGTAATTCACCCATTTGAGCGAATCGGGCATCACTCTCATCATCATTCTCATCATCAGTGTGGAAATCACCCCCATCGTATGGGGTCTCTTCATGCTCCGTTTCAGGAACGTAAGTAGAGTCGTGGTTCTCGGTGCTAGTCTCGTACACCGAACTCACGTGGCCATCACTCACTGTTTGGGCTCGGTGGCCCCCACGACTTCCACGGCCCCCACGGCCTCCTCTTCCACCTCTGGAGCTTCGAGATGCAGCCCGGCTAGCTCCAACGGAAGCTATCGGTGCTTGCCCTCTCGGATTGTTCCTGGTCCGCATGCGTCTACCCTCCATTTCTGAAAATGAATTTGGACGAGTCGTTAGACTCCAATCAATGTCAATTGACGGAAAACGTTATAGACACGTATTGGCCCAAGTCACCGCCATACCAATTGTTAAGGGTACCATCTTAACAACTAGAGACCTTGCAACTTAGGTAACAACAGTTCTATAAGCGTCAAAATACAATGCTCATGGTTTTCGATAAAACTCTTTTGTAAGGTCTCATGTGAGAGGTTGATTATATAGTTTAGAAACTGAGATGGCTCTGATACCACTTAATTGTCACGACCCGGACCGCATCCGAGCGCGTGTACAACCGCCGTATGACCAAATGACGTCACTCGCAAGTCAACGTAACTTAATCATACAAGGCGTCCATGAACATTGTTCATACCATACTCAGTAAGTAAACATACATAACAACATCACATATTTGGATTGAACGAATCGCGGAAATATTCAATATTCAATCATGGACCACATATGGCCAAAACGTGGACTCGCAGGCCCAAAACAAATGTACTTATTACAAAATATCCATGAGCATAGTTTATAGTTTAAAATAGTAAAGGAAGCACGAACCACGTCTCCCTTTAGATTACTTCACCGAGCAAGGTGAGAATGCAAGCTTGAGCTTCAACCTGAAATGGTGGGGCCCCCCGAAGGGGTCAGTACAAGTACCGAGCGAGTAGCAGGCTAAATGTAGAATAACTAACGTTTCAAGTATAAGACCCAAACATAGGGTGATACGTATACATATAGTCCTTTCCCCCAAGTTATGAAATATATATCATTATATATACACTTGGAAATACCCGACCCTTAGGTCATTGTTTATTTGGGAAATAATATAGCCGTTAACCTTGGCTTAAACCCCAACCCACCCATATACCTAGGAGTGTATAGAACTCCTCCTGGTTCAATCATCTTAACATGAGGACACCGCCCGGCCCCAAATTATAAAATAATAATCTATGAGTTTTGAGGATACACGCCCGATCCTTGGGTACTCCACCCTATAACCGAGTTTTGAGGATAACCGCCCGATCCTTGGGTACTCCACCCTATAACCGAGTTTTGAGGATACCGCCCGATCCTTGGGTACTCCACCCTATAACCGAGTTTTGAGGATACCGCCCGATCCTTGGGTACTCCACCCTATAACCGAGTTTTGAGGATACCGCCCGATCCCTGGGTACTCCACCCGACTTATGATCTACCACATATCATCCTAGATAAGGTCTATATCATAATCAATAATCAAGACTAAACCAAGTCTTAAGGCCTAAGCATAATCATCCATGCAATTCATGCATTAAAAATCAATATATAGGCAAAACAGTGCCAAACCGGCGTCGGTTTTGACATAACCGGCGCCGGTTATTAATTAATTTAATAAAACCGGCCATGCCGATCCATAACCGGCGCCGGTTTTGCCTATAACCGGCGCCGGTTGCCCCCTGGGCAACCAAGTCAACATTTTCGTTGACTCGCCATTTCAAACCCGATTTGCGTCAAACTTAATCCCAACATGTATTAAGTTATAACCAATCATTTTATGCCCCTTTTATCCCTTAATACATCATATATGTCTTTATAAACATTTTCATATCATACTTCATTTATGATATCAATGGGTCATACATGTAAATCTAATCACTTTGGATAATCACATGTTTAAGCATCTTTTAAACATCATTATGAACACATATAACATTTACTTAGGTAATCTCATAATTGACCCAAGAGTTATAAGACATTAAGCCGTCCACTCACCTCGAATGAGCGTGATGAAGTTCTACCCTTCTCGGTTGAACTCCGGCCAAACTCCGGTGAACTTTGACGAACTCCGGCGATAACTCCGGTGACTCTTAAACTTCGTGGTGGCTCTTAAATCACCCTTGTCAAGTGCCTAACAAGGTTTTATCATCACAAAACCCAAATTAATACAAATAACCTCTAAAAGGTTATTTTCCGGCTAACCGGTCGTTTTGGCCCCTAAGTCCGTTCTTGGACATAGAATCACTTCTCAACCCTTATTTCTACATTTATAAATATGTAGAGCTATTAAAAGGGTTCCTTACATGCCATGTAAGTCATATGAGCATCAAATGGAAGGAGAAAAGTTGTTATAAGGTCATTACCTTAATCTTTCACCCTTTTCTTCACCTTCCTTCACTCCAAGCACCTCTTTTGCTTCTCTTCTTGCTTGAGCTCGATTTTGGGGATGATGGTGGGTGTTTTGCAGCTCACTCTCTCCCTCTTGGTGTGTCTTGGCCGAAGTGATCACATGGGGTGAGAGGAAGTTGCCTCTTTTGACTTATTCTACAATAAGGGTGAGGGAATAGGCCCTCCCATGTCTCCTCTTGATGCCTATCAACTCACACCCCCCTCCTACTAACTTCCCATCCTCATTCATAGAATCCCCTTGATAAATTGTGGTCTAATTTCGTGGGTTGGCCCCCACTCATGTGGGAGGTCAACCCTTTTTGTCCAAAAGTGTACAATCGGTCCCGAAAGTTGTATTTCTCGGACTGTTTTAACTATACTTTATTTTATCGGGTCAAATAAAATATAACACTTGCTTCCCCTCATAATGGGCCTTTAGGATGATTATACATTCTCCAACTTTAATTTGGAAGTCCCCGAAATTCATTTCAGACTGTTACCCGATAAATTACCCAAAACCGGTAATTGGGCCTTGTTTGACCAACCGGTCAACCCAACGCCTTTCTTATGGCCCAAAGTGAATGTCCACCACCATATAACTATTATCTATACCAAGATGAATAAAACATGCGGTCTCGGGAATATCGGGTGGTCCCCGCTCCCGGTGTGGGCCCCACGTGCAATTTACTATTCACGCAAAAGAATTAACAAGAATTTACAACCTCGTAAATTCATTAACCATTTCATAAGGTTCAATACATAATTTACACAAAAGTAAATATACTTGGGGACGGTGTTACAGCCGAAGTGGAGGCTGCGGCAGTAAGAGGAAGGCCGTCCATGGTGGATCGTAAAAAAAAAAACCTAGGCTGCTGATACCATATACGAAATATTATTTGGGAATAATGGCTTACCCTCTTGGGTGCCTTAGGCTTGTATTTATAATAAAACAGAGTTATGGAGAATTACAAAGTAATCCCTAAATATTACATTATTAGTTAACATCCTGATTACTATTAATAAATTTAACTTAACCTTTGAGTCAAAGTCAATTATAGCTTTGACCAAATTGGGGTCAGGTTTAATCATTTATAATGGCTTGGAGTTAAGTATTCAAGATACGGAAAATTCTTGGCACACCTTGGATTACACCCTAGGGTACACCCCATATATTTGCCCTTCACACAGACAAAAAACGTAAAAACACAGACACTTTCGATTAAACTGTCGGTGTGAGTTTGCAGACCTGTCAGGCTGGTTGCACGCAAACCAATGTCGGTGTGCACAAACACTAGTTGTCTGTGTAGACAAAAAAGTGTCGGTGCGAACAAAGTTGGTTTGCAAGTTCGGGGAGTGGGAAACTAGTGTCGGTGTACACAGACATTATTTGTCTGTGTAGAAAAAAGTGTTTGTACATATACAATTTTCGTCGGTTTTCTTTCATTCTCTCTTTTTACGTTTTATGCACACCGACACTGATTTGTTTTCAGTGTCTGTGTACACCGACGAAAATTGTATATGCACAGACACTTTTGTTTCTATACAGACAACTAATGTCTTTGTACACCGACGAAAATTGCATATGTACAGAAGCTTTTTTCTACACCGACAACTAATGTGTGTGTACACCGACACTGATTCCCCAACCCCTGAACTTGCAAACCAATTTTGTTCGCACCGACACTTTTTTGTCTACACAGAGAACTAGTGTTTGTGCACACCGACATTGGTTTGCGTGCAACTAGCCTGGCAGATCTGCAAACTCACACTGACAGTTTGATTGAAAGTGTCTGTGTTTTCATGTTTTTTGTCTGTGGGAAAGGCAAATAAATGGGCTTACCTAGGGTGTAACCCGGGTGTAAACCAAGAAGGATTCATTGGAAATAGAGCAAAACTCCTTTGTCACCTTCCCCAAGTGTGATTCAATATAGGGACGGAACTAGGGAAGAGCCCAGCACCGGCGCCCCGTTCCATGGAAAGTCAAAGTATTATCAAGTATAAATTCCATGGCGCCCAGCCACTACGAATGGTCAAAAGAGGAGAAATAAGAAGGTAAGGGAGAGAAGGGGTGCAGACAGAGGAATGAAGAGAGAATGAAAGGGTGGATGGTGACACTGTGAAACTCACCATCGGAGAGAGGATGGTAAGGGGAAAGGGAAAGGGCGGATGGCAAAAAGTAAAACGAGGATGGTAAAAAAAAGAGTTCCACTGTAGTGATCTCTTACATGTCATCGTCACTTGAGGCTTCTTCCTTCATAACCAACCTCCTCCCAGTCCTTGCTCAAAGGGGCACAACCGTCAAATTCCTCAGAAAAGCACAGGAGCTTCATGGCCTCATTGTCACCTCCACGTCCACGGCTTCTAAATCTCCGTATGTATTCAACAACATCCTGTCCATGTATGTGAGATGCGGATCTCTTTCGGATGCTAGGAAGGTGTTTGATTGTATGCCACAAAGAAACGTAGTCACATATAACGCCCTAGTGTCTGCACATTCTTCTTGTCCCCGTCTGGGTGTCTTCTGTTTCCAACTATTGACACGGATGCAAGAGGAGAGACTCACCCCCAATGCCTCAACCTTTACGAGCCTATTAAAGGCATCATCTACCATAAAAAACTGGATTCTGGGTTGCATGATACACGCCCAGTGTTTGAAGTTTAATTGCCTGATGAATGTTCGTGTCCAGACATCTCTACTGGGGATGTACTCGAACTGTGGCGATTTGGTCCACGCAAACAAAGTTTTTAGCGGTATGGTTCAAGCAGATTCATTTGCTTGGGATTCTTTAATTTTCGGGCACATTGAAAATGGTGAGATCATAGAATGTTTCCAACTTTTCAAAACCATGCTGAGCACTGCAGTTATTCCCACACATTTTACCTTCTCTATGTTATTGAATGCTTGTAGCAGGTTGAGAGATTATCGCACAGGGAAACTTCTTCATGCTCAGTTGATCCTATCTGGGGTATATGCTGACCTACCTTTACACAATGCTCTTCTTGATATGTATTGTAATTGTGGTGACGTGATAACAGCATTGGATATTTTTAAAAAGATTGACAATCCGGATTCAGTGTCTTGGAACTCAATGATATCTGGATATGCAGAGAACAGAGACGGAGAGAGTGCAATGAGAATGTTTGTCCAGTTTTTACAAAGATCTCTAAGCCCACCGGATGGATATACTTTTGCATCTATTATTTCTGCCACATGTGCATATCAGGCGGAGTATTATGGGAAACCCCTTCATGCCCAAGCTGAGAAGGCGGGACTCGGGAGTAACGTCTATATTGTGAGTACATTGTTAACCTTGTACTTTAACATCAATGAAGCTGATTCAGCACAAAAGATATTCTCTTCAGTTTCAGAGAAAGATATAGTTCTCTGGACTGACATGATAGTCGGCCATTGTAGAATCGGTGACACCGATGGATCTCTCAGATTATTCCATGGAATGTTCCAGAACGGTCTAGAGATTGATAAATTCACTCTTAGCGCAATTCTCAACACTTGTGCGGAAGGAGCAACTCTTAGACAAGGAGAGATGGTTCATTGCCTTGTGATGAAGAAAGGGTGTGGTTCTGAAATGAGTATTTGTGGGAATCTTGTGGATATGTATGCCAAAAATGGAGACCTCAAATCTTCAAAACTTGTGTTTTCACTTACAAATAAACCAGATTTAAAATGTTGGAATGCAATGTTGGGAGGGTATGGATATCATGGGCAGCCTGAACATGCATTCAGGACTTTCAATGAGATTATAAACAATGGTCTAGAACCAGATGAGGTAACATTTTTGTCTTTGCTCTCCTCTTGTAGCCATAGCGGTTTGTTCATCAAGGCGAAGCACTTGTGGAACTCCATGAAAGAAAAAGGGATAAAACCGGGACCCAAACACTACTCCTGCATGATTGCATTGTTGAGTCGGGCGGGGTTGCTAGAGGAGGCAGAAGAGTTCATTATTGAAGAACTCCCGGTTGGTGATTATCATCACCTTGAAGCATGGAGGATTCTTCTGAGCTATTGTGTTCACTATGGAGATTTAATAGTAGGGATGAGGGCATCCAGACATGTGGTTGATTTGGATGCGACGGACAGTGCAACAAACATATTAGTTTCAAATTTTTACGCTGCTGTGGGAAGATGGGATGATGTCAGAGAGATGAGGAGAAAGATAAAAGAGACGGTGATTGAGAAAGATCCGGGTTTTAGTTGGTTAGAGGGAATGAATAACAAGACACATGTATTTTCTTCTTTAGATCTGTCACACCCACAGAGTGGAATGATGGAAGCTATGTTGCATGGGTTGCTGGAAACAATGATACATTCAGAAGCTGGTGAATTTGACCTTACAGGTTCTTAAGAAAGAGCTTAGTTTAATTTTTGCTCATTCAACTACCATGTGGTGTGTGCATGTTTCATTCATATAAGTATAGACATAGATGTACTGTTAACATATGGCATGTTTGGTGAAACCTATCCGGCTGAAATAATTGAATCTTTTAGTTTTCTGAAAGTAAAAGATCTGCTTAAATCGGTTTCAGCCAAATAAGCTAGTCACACGTTACTTATTCTTACTATTATTATTTGCTGATTATGCTAATAATCAGAAGAAGCTGACTCATGCTACCAAACAGGGAATTAATTAGTTGGACAGCAATGACACCTTCACAAGCTCATGATTTTAAAATGCAAAAGAAAAATTGATAGAGACCAATAGGTTATTGGCGTTTCGACGTCACTGCCAACTGGGGCCCTCCACTGTGGACTACATTGTACAGTGAGAAGAGGTATGGACTCTGGACACCCGGGACTTTAAAAGGTCTCTTCTAAACTCTTGTAATGGGAAAGCAAAAACCTATATTAGATTTTAATTACCCCAACCTGCATTTAATTTGGAATTTAAATGTTCCGACCTGCATTTGAGTTGATTACTATGAGTTGAACCATCATCAACCCAACCCATATTAATCAATAAAGGTTGCACTGATAAATTATCGAGTTGAATTGACCTCTATACTTTCAAAATGATTAATTGTGTTGTCTGATAATTTCCTTTCAGCCCATCTAGTCCAACCGGTTGTGGTCGCGTGGACTAATCGTAGTGCAATTTTTCTTCCTCCTCCTGGGTAATTTTCCTATTAGTGTCATACTTTATTGTTTTAGGTTCTGTCAGAGACTAAAGAGGCAAGGGTAGAAATAATCCTTGTGTCTTGCAAAATATATAGGAAATGAAGAAACGTACATGGAGCAGTCCCAAATTCTATTGATCTGTCAATGCCCCCATGCTAAAAGAAGATGCTATTTGTATTGTAGCAAAAATGTGAACAGGGGTTCAACTTCTGGGGGTGATATTTATGGCTCTGATTTCAAAGAATCGATAGAAATTTGTTGATGATTGACTATTTTGTTTTTCTGATTTAATTTTCTTTGGTTTCCTTCACCTCTATCAGGTTCTGACTGTGATGGGGATAGTTTCTCAAAGATTTTGAGATTGAGAGTTGCATGCATCTTGATCCAAACTGTTCCGGTATCTTTCTTATTCTGCTCCCCATTTTCTCCTATTGTTTCTTTTGTTTTTCTTTTTTATATTTTTTAGGCTAATGCCACGATTAGGATTATAGAGTGATTTTTTCTATTATTAATAATAGAAAAACTAGGTTTTAATAATACCAATTATCATCCATCAACCAATATTAATGCATATAACAGACATAACAATTTAATAACCAACTACTTAAATATATACGATAATATATGTAGCAACAAAAAGTATATGAAGCCACATTTTGACTACAATTTTGATTTGAGTAATTATATATTGGTTAAAATGTTACTCCCTCCATCCAATTTTACATGTCCTACTTTCCTTTATTGGTTGTCCTAAAATAAGTGTCACATTTTCCTTTTTGAAAAGAAATATGTGGTCTACAATATTTCACTTTATTATACTCAAATCTCAACCCCAATTTTAACTTTTTCAATAACTTGATTAATAATGGTGTGATTGGTGTCAAACCAAAGTAGGACGCATAAAATGGGATGATGGTAGTATTATATTATTGGTTAACAAATGGACTAGCAAGTTTTCTACATATAAAACTTTGAAAAGATATATACATTTGAATGTTTAGTACTAGTTTTATAATTTCATTATTGACAGGTGAATAAGTTAGTAGTTCTATTATTCAAAGTTAGGCTAAAAGGTCAAATAGGCCCTTGAACTGACTTAAAGTGTTCAATTAGCCCATTAGATAAGTGGTTCTGTCCGGCCGTCGCTAATTGGGGCGGTTCCCGGTGGAATTTTTTGATGAAATTTTTTGAGCATCTTCTTCATTAAGTCTAGTTTACCCATACCAAATTTCATCTAAACATTCAACCGGGAAGACAGTCAAATGATTTTCCGAAATGTACTGCGCTGTTTAACTTCGCAGTTATCTTCAAAAAATCATTTGACTGCCTTCCCGCTTGAATTGTTAGCTGAAATTTGGTATGAGTAAACTAGACTTAATGAAGAAGATGCTCAAAAAATTTCATCAAAAAATTCCACCGGGAACCGCCCCAATTGGCGACGGACGGGCAGAACCTCCTATATAAGGGGCTAATTGAACACTTTAAATCAGTTCAAAGGCCTATTTGACCCTTTAGCCTTAAAGTTATATTTCTTTAATGAAGTATTTAAACGTTTATATTCAGTTGATGTCAAGAAATGTTGTTTTTTATTATGTGACTTGAACTATAATGTCCGAAGTCTATAAGATCATATTGCGTCTAGTACTTGACAGAACTAAAAAGTATTTCACAATTTCTACAGAAAAGTCTTAACTTGTAAACTTATAGACTTATAGTGAGTAAATTTTACAATCTTGTCAAAAAAACTTGTCCCGTTTCACGGTTCACATTAAACGAATGACACACTTTTTAGTTAATAATTACATAAGGTAATTTGAATATAGTTTGAGCATAAATTTGACGGGAGTATAATATAATCAGGTAATTGATGTTGTTTGGGTTGTAATATTTTTAATACCGTAGTATATGATTTTAATAGGTGAAGATAAATATGTCACTTAGATGGTCGGGGTTAGAGAACTCGGAAGTCCCGTTTGACATTCGTGCATCAAGTTCCCCACTAAAAAAATGGAGTGGGAATGGCTCGGATTGACTAGCAAACAACATGATCATGTTATCGAGAGGTCGTAAGAAGGATCAGCGTCCGGGACCTAAGGGTGTCCCGGGTCAGAGCGTGAAGAAGAACCATCCGAATAAGGGGGATAAAATCATCCGGAATTGGAACTGAACCAGAGGGCCAATTTACCTATCCCACCTCGGGCAAGCCGCCCGCTCGACACTAACATACTCAAGAATATCCTCAAGAATAATAGTTTGATTCACTATGTGTAATGCAAATATGCGATCATTTTGATTGTTTGTGGTTCTCAAAAGTGATGCCCTAGAATACTCAAATTGTATGTGATCATCGCATTTAATTTTGTTATTTCGAAAAATATTATAAAATCAATTTATGTACCATAGCTTCTGCTTAAAGTCATAGCTTTATAAATAGGGATTAAACACATACAAGTATACAACTGTAACTTATTTCATCAACTTATCCTGAGTCCTCTAATTCCACAGTCCAATAAGTCAATAAGTTCAAACCATTTATTGTTTGTTCTCTTCATTCATTTGGATATTTTGTTGGATCCCTCCCCTTAATTAGGGGTGGACCGGGCCCGGTCCGGTTCCGGTTCGGGCCTGGGTCCGGCCGGGCTTGGATTTTTTTTGTTAAGGCCCGGGACCGGCCCGGGAGTCTACAGGGTCGGCGGGTCATGCCTCCGGGCCAGGCCGGTTCCTTTTTTTTGTGTTTTCTTATTTATTCACCCCCCCCACCCCCCCACCCCAAACCCCTCGAAAACACCCTATCCCACATAAACCCAGCCCAAACCCAAAAAAACAAAAAAAAAAAACAAAAAACAGGGACCGGGCCTGCCCCTAACTTCCCCCAGTTCGGGCCTGGGCTTGGTACCGGAACCGGTTCACCGGTCCGGTCCGGTCCCGCACAGTGGCGGGCCGGGCCGGTCGGACCAAACCCGGGCCATGCCTACCCTTAATGCGTCTATTAGCGCAATAATGCAGAACTTTGTTTCTTTTAAAAATATGACTTTGTTTTATGTTTTCAAACTCTGTACTGAACAAATGTATAAAGAAAGAATGTGCTTGGAAACTAAATAAATTAGTATAATGATGCCCTTAAATATAAATAAAAACACCAATGAGGCCCTTAAATGGGACAGAGTGACCAGAATTTAAATTGCTCTTATGAGATTTGAAATGGGACTCCTAGCTTAAAATATTAAAGTAGTTGCATTTTAGTCAATTTTATACTTTTTAGATTCAACTATTAAAGTAGTTGGATTTTATTTGTACTCGCAACTCAATATTTACAGACTTGTAGACTAGTAACATTTTAATATAAAAGTCATATTTTTATTAAATTATCATATTACTTACATTTCAATATAAAAGTCACATTTTTATTTTAAAGTCACATTTTAAACTCATAAATAAGTATTGTTACAAATTACTTACTCCCTCCGTCCCCTTTTAAAAGTCCCGGAAGAGGGTGGCACGAATTTTAAGAAAAGTGGGTTTGTGTGGTTGATATTAATTGATAAAGTAGGAATAAAGTAAGAATAAAGTAAGAATGATTTTGAACCACACAAACTTTACCAAATGAGGTATGAGACATTTAAATAGGGACATCCCAATATGGTAAAATGGGACATTTAATTGGGGACGGAAGGAGTACATTTTAGTTATATTAAACTCACATTTTCTTACATAAAGTGATATTTTAGTTACATTTTTATATTAGTTGCATTGTATTTGTACTCGCATAAACATATACTACGTATGTTAGAATTTAATATTTGTCACATTTTAAGATGGAACGAGGTAGGCATTCTGTAGATAACTAGATATGAGTAATCTCCAACGCAACCGAAGGAAGGAGATTGGGAAAAACCATCATAATTTGCAAAGCCGAGATGATTTTGAAACGACTTAAGACCGGATAGATGCGATGTCTGACACGCAACTATAACAACTATTGGTCCAACGGGATGGGTGGTTTTACCAACAACAAGACATGCCCGAGATTGATGAACAGCTCGAGGATGACCACGCCGAAAAGGAGGACCTGACGACAGCCAAAGAGGAACAAGGCGACGAGGAAACGCCCGATGAGGACGAGCCTAATTCATCCCAACCCGGTAAGAAAGGTGAATCTCTCCTTATGAAAAATAATTTCAAAAAATAGAAGGAAACAAATAGCGAGAAATGGTGAGCAACTTGCAACCATTATAACAAAAACATAAGCTTGGGGATTTCGCAAGGATATGGCGGCGCTCATAGGCATGTCAAGGCCCATCACCCCGTGGAGTATGCGAAACTAAAAGGCAAGGGGACGCAAACACAAATATCAAGGTTTGCAGATGGCCAACCCTATGATAATTTCTCTTATGATGATTCCAAACATTTAACTGCTATGCATGAATTAATTGTTAAAGAAAATTTACTGATGGAGTATATGGCCTAGGGACCCCCGGCCCACAAACTCCTACTACTATAACACAGGCCCAGGAAGCACAAGAAGCCCAAACACAGTGGCCCAAGCGTTAAGAAGCCCATGGTGGACATAAGGGTGCCTTCGGCCCTATGGCCGAAGGCTCCAAACTCCGGAAAACAGCAGATTTTAGGCATGCAAAGCTACTAGGAGAAAAGGGCAGAAATCAGGAGCCTTTGGCATCTTCGTGTCCTTAGCATAAGGGTAGCCTTTGGCTACACTGAGCCCTCGGCTACACAAAGCCTTCGGCCACAGGGGAGCCTTCGGCTACAGCGCAATCATCGAAGATTCCCTTTGGAGACAAGCAACCACCGCATTTAATGCGGCGTCACATCCACCCACCGCATTTAATGCAGTGCACATGCGAATGCCAGTGCCACCCCGATCGAGGTGACCCCTCGGCCGTTAGATTGTTGACACATGTACTCTCATCGCATTTATGACTGCTATAAATAGCACCCTTTATTCCTCTTGTAAAGGATCCCAGAACAAGTTCATTTAATATACTTGGCTCTCTCTCTTACTTGTTTGCTCTGACTTCTCTCTAGGTTATTCCCCGCAATAATCCCTCAGATAAGCTACCCCCGGGTACACTATCCATCATTTACCTTTTATTTTTTTTTGAAAGTCTTGTTTTAAAAGTTTATGCTCAAGGTTCTTTAAATCCTCGATTTCGAAACTATAGTCGCAAAATCATTAAAAAGAGGTTATAAGGCAATATGTTTTGGAAAAAGATATATTAAAAACGTTTTTCGCAAACTTTGATGGATGTGTTAGTATTTGTAGTGATATATGGGAGGATACTTGTTATCATTTGTATTATTTGGGTGTGAATGTACATTAGATTAATGTTAATTGGGATATGCATAAACGTGTTATTGTTTTTCAAGAATTTAATGACTGACACACCAATGATAATATTTATATTCTCATTGAGCGTATTTTAACTGATTATAATTTGATTGATAAAGTTTTTGCAATTTGTTTTTATAATGCTAGCAATATTACTGTTGTTATACCTAGATTACGTGAATTGTGTGGTCCTACTGTGATGGGTAGGTTTTTTCTTCAACGTTGTGCATGTCATATTCTCAATTTGTGTGTAAAAGACGATTTAACCACACTAGGTGATGTTATGGAGAACGTGAAAGGGGCTGTTAGACTGGTTTGGGGTAATAATCGACTGAAAATGCAATGGCGTCAATATTTGAGGGCTAGACATGTGAACTATTGTCCTTTTCCAAGAGATTTGACTATTCGCTGGAACCGTACTTATAACTTAATTATTGTACTTCAATACTATTATACTTGTTTTTTCGGTCCATTACCTATGTATGAAGAGAGGCTCATAGATCCTAAAGAGCAATACAACGAGGTTAGTAACTTATTTCATCAATTATTTAATGAGTTTCATGCACATTATGCTAACGCATCCCCTCCCCCAAAACCAATTGCTTCTTCATCTAAAGGAAAATCAATTTTCAAAACTACACTTGAAAAAAATAAATCAACTCCCGTTGTTGCACAAAGCTCGATCACCGAGCTTTCTTTATATCTAATGTTTTGAGTATGTAGAAGGGGATAACTTTGATGTTCTTAAGTGGTGGAAGGAAAAAGAATCAATTTTCCTGATTTTATCGAAGATGACGAAGCAAGTGCTATCAATGCCGAGTCAACAGTAGCCGTGCAACAAGAATTTATTGTAGTCGGCAACGTCCTCATTGATTATAGAACAAAATTGAGAGCAATCTCTTGAGACACTCATTTGCTTTCACGATTGATTGAAGGCACGACGTAGAATTCAAGAAGTTTGCATCGCCCTTTGACCGCCACTTCGTGAAAGAAACAACAACCGACGCTGACGGAGATTCTGATTGATTTTTACCAAATGTATTTAATGTTTGAAGTTATTTTCAATTATTAATCGTGCTTCATATTTCAATAAATATACATTCAATCTTTTGTAGCACTGGTGAATGAGTTAAAAAAAAAAATAGCCTGGCCCACCCCCACCCCACCCCCCAAACCAGCCCAAATGGCCCAAAATACCCAACCCAACCCGGAAAGTTAAAAAAAAAATTAAAAAACAAAGAATAAAGCCCAAACCGGGCCCGGATCTGGCCAGGCCAGTTCCATACTCCCCAGACCCGTACCCGCCCCAATTACAGCCACTAAACCGGGCCTAGACCCGGAACCAGTACCCGATTCTCGGGCCGGGTCGCGCCCATACAGTACCGGGCCAGGCCGGTTCCCGGTCCGGGTGGCCCGAACCGGGTCCAAGCCTACCCGCATCACAACATAGACTGAAACATGATCTACTTGACAGCTAAACATCCTCAAAAGATCATACAATAGTACAATACCTCTAAATTGAAAAAATGATGCTGTATAAAATACGCCAATACAAATGGTCATCTAAAATGAACAGAAGCTAATGAATTTTACAATATTACATTGGCATCTTATAAAACAAAACATGCACCTATGACTGCACGTTAGATCCCCTGCAAGAAGTTCAGCACATCCAAGGAATGAAGAGTAAAGATGATCACTAAGTCTTGGACAGAAGTATATAGATTCACTAGCAACAGCTCACATTGGAAGCGAATGTAGGATGGACTTCTCATCCACACTGATATAATTTAGCGTCTTCCTGTGCGACTTTTAGCTCTTGCTTTCTACAGCAATAAGGAAAAACATTATAGCAACGAAGATAGTTTAAAACAGAAAAACAAAATGCTATAAAGTGTGGTGAATATTCCAACAAGTGGAGATCAGGATCCTGTTTAAGGTATGTAATATGTATGTATATAGGAGGCGTTTATGGAGGTAAGGAGATGTACTTTTTATGATTCATGGAAATAGTTAATGAAATGGACATTGAGTTTATGTAGTAGATTCATGATTTTATATCATTTGTTTCAAATATTAAAACACTCGATGACATTTGTTTTGAAATGTTATCAAGTGAAATGAAAGATAACTGATCCTCTCTCACTCTAAGTTCTAACCCCCCCCCCCCCC